ATGGCTACTGTAAGCTGCTGCTGTCTTTTTTTCTCTTCCTCACTGCAATAGCAGCATCCATCATCGTGAGCTTGATTAGCCCGTGAGCGTGCACGCAAGCGCCGCAGGAAACATTCCCTCGGCTCAGCGTGGATGTTTTCTTTCCTCCAAAAGTAGAGGATTGTGCGCCGTTCTAGAGGAAATGTAACCGTTCATTCCTTTTTTCTAAACGCGAGTACAGTGAAAAAAAATCCATAGAAATTTGATTGCTTTATTTTTTCTATGTTTTTTCTCGTGAACCAAATAGGGCCTAAACACATCACCTCATCAATTTTTTTCTCTCATATCGTAACTTGTACCTTTTCCCTAAAAAAAACCAACTACCTTTTTCTGTACCTGAGAGAATCAAAGGCAGCTTGTCAACTCGACAAGTAGCAGCCGCACGAATTTCATTTGATGATGACCAATCTTTGAAGTGACAGTTCATTTAGGTAGGAGTATGCTCTAGCAAACGCTACAAGGATGTCTGATTGGGTTATGGCGCCTCACATTTGACCCTATTTTTGTGATGAAATATGGTCAATGCATATAGTAGGAATTTCAACTAGATGTGGCTATGCATTCACATTTCAGTAGAAGAACTAAGTTCAAACAAGAATATGTGGCCGGTCGACTTGTCCATTTCCATCACCAACTCTCCCGAAAACTCATCAGAAACGTGCCAAACCAAAACAATCTCTGAGATGACCCAAAAACTGGCAAAAAAGGGAGCTCAATTTGCTAAACCCCTCTTGCAGCTAGGTTAGTCTTGGTAGTACTTTGGTTGGAGTTGGGTTGGTGAACCCCACAGCCAAGCTGGTCTCCTCAACATGCGGCTGCCATATGGAATCGTCCAGAGGAAACCTATAGTTGTTTAGGTGTGCGTGGTCTGGTTTGGTTGGCCTATACTCTGTCTCCTTGATCTTATTTAGAACAAACACATCTTCTGTACTAAAAATTGTTGGCCTTCGCATCTACCCGAAAAACAAGGACTATGCTTTCTGAATTAAAACGGAAGAATGACGTGCAGTTTTCTTTGAATGGTAGACATTTTTTTGAAGAATGGTAGTCAGAATTTGTTGCACCTGTTTTCTTCAATTTTGTATTCAGGTTGAGTAAATACACATAAAAGTGGTTATAATCGAAATGGAGCAGGAGAGCACTAATATTTTGTTAGCTCGAAGTGGCCTGCCTCTAGCTGAAGCCAAAAAAAAAAAAAAAAAACTACCCGTATCTTAGTCAACACATAATTTAGTGTATGAAACTCAGTACCTATCAAAGGTAGTCTTAAGTTTCCAAGGATACATCTCAAATTTCTTCAAATTTTAGGCCCCAAGTACATTTCAAAGCAAACGACTTACATAAGTGGCATGGCCATGACTTTAAACTAGAGTGGTCCAAGTGGATACAAAATATTTGTTAATAAAATATTAATGTAACATGTTAACCTACAAATATACAATTTCTCGAAACAAAATACAAATGGATCAAGTAAAAGTCTTAAGAACATCTAAAAATGAGCAATAAACTCAAAATTTGCTTAAGGTAGCTACTTAAACACCCACAATACCTTGGTCCAAAATACCACTCCCTCTATTCCAAATTAAAAGACATTTTGGTTTTTCTAGATACATAGATTTTTGATGCACTTAGATATATACTACAATATAAATATTTAGAAAAAAAATTACTATGGTTGAGGGGAATTTCGACGGCACATGACGAGCGATCCGACGGCTAGAAAGGCAGAGGCGTTGAGAGGCATCTATGAGGGAGGTGTCGGGAGGCATAAGATGTGTTTATGATTGGTGGGCCCATATGCACCATAATGCCTCCCGATGCCTCCAAAATTGAGAGGATTGGGGCAAAAAAAAGGACCGGTAATTTCTTTTTTGAAATTCTTTTATGTAACCAAGGGTAAAAAAGGTAAATTCATAATAAAATCATAATTTTTTGAGTAGTATAGTTGGGGTGTATGATTCAAGTACTATAGTGAGATGAATATCTTCTTGTTAATTAAAAAATCTTCTTCTTGGGTTCCACCCGCCGTCCACCTGTCCCCGCATTCGCGCGCCGCCGTTCGCCGCCATCCTCCATGCACCGTCTTCGACGACGTCCTCCAAGGGTAGGGTGAGGGAGTGGGTGAAGGCGAGGGAGCCAATGCTTGCGGCGGCATGCCAGGGCGAGGGAGATGTCAAGGGCAAGTGCGGAGCTGCCGTGCACGAGGTAGACTTCACACCTTCTTTCACGGAGTGCCGCTGCCTCGTCATCCACCTCGACCATGAAAGGACTTGAACAATACCATGAATGCTAATGGCAAGCTAGTGCTTCGTGGGTTCCAGTTTTTTTTCGCGATCGGGTCTTGTACCTGTTTTTCATTAAGAGGAAAGGCCAAAAGAAAGGCCGAAACACGGATATAAAGGACTCACAAGTAATCCTAGATTACCGACGGAATCCCAAAAACACAAACAAACAGCAAAAATACACAGAGGGTGGGGGGAACCTCCACCTCCAAAACACCAACCGACTATGCCTACAAAAGAGAAAGACATCCGGCGCAATGGTCACCAACTGGGGGGGTTGAAGTTGTGGTGGCAAAGCATCCACCGGTAGATCCACAAGCGACCAGGTAGCCGCTGCGAAGAAGAAGAAGACTGAATCCGCCAGCGACCAGGTAGCCGCTGCGAAGTAGAAAATGACAGTATCCGCCGGCGATCAGGTAGCCGCTGCAAAGAAGACGACGTATCCGCCAACGACCAGGTAGCCACTGTGGAAAAAATAGACGACTGCGGCAACACCAACACCTGAGGTGGACAGACCAAAGTGTTGAGGAAGCTGAAGAACAGAGCGGAACACAGTACAAGCTAGGAGCGGCTCCGACGGATGGTGGCCGACAACGAAGCCTCCAAGAAGGGAATGACGTCCACAGACGCCAACAACGTTAAAGAGGGCACAAGAAGGACTTTGGTCCCAGAACAGCCCCAACGACCCGCACAACGAACTAACTGATCCTTCGACGACGCCTTCAGGAAGATGGATGACGCAAGCTACGCCACCGCCGTCGGTCCTAAGCAAGAAGTCGGGTACGGTTTTCACCCAGGAGCTTCTTCGACGGTCGCTGGGATGTCTCTTGGCCCCAGCCACCGGCCCCAAGAGGCGCTGGCCACCGCATGCCATGGCCAGCAGCCCACCTGCACGGGCCCAGCAACAGGCGTGGTTTTTTTTTATGAAACTAGTTAAACTTAAATCATTTCATTAGGAAGTGAGATTTTTATTTTTTTATAGTTCTTTTTTTAGATGGAGGTAGTAGCCGACACCACCCACGGATGGACCCATTGTTATTACCAAAGTGACAAGACTATACCGAAGCCTTTTACTCCAGTCTATCCAGAGCTAATGCCGAGTGCCATGATGCATCGCAACAACTCCAAATCGAGAGAGGGAGAGAGCAACACATGCGCACTAAATTTTTTATTGCAATCTTGCAACTCACGGGAGTAAATTCATTTGTGACCGTTACAAGTGCGTGTGGTTGTGGTAAAAATAGCAAGGTGTTTTTACTTGGGGTTTACGTAAATAAGAAAAAGCTTCCTCTCCAAACTTTATTTATTTGCGATTCAAACTTTTTGAATTATTGAAGGTGCATGTTGTCCTGAAGAAAAGACCGGAAATGGGTGTTTGGTTTCATCCTAAAGTTTAGTCTATGTCATATCGGATGTTTGACACTAATTTGGAATATTAAACATAGACTAATTATAAAACTAATTATACATATTGAGACTAATTTATAAGACAAATCTATTAAGCCTAATTAGATCATATTTAGTCATTTTAATTAGTATCCGAATATCCGATGTGACACCAACGAAGCAAGAGTAGTCCACGCGAGGCTGAACACTTGCTATTCTGTACTGTACTTTTGCTGGTAAATGTTCTGAGCCAGTTAACAGGTCCATGAAATGAAGCTACACCAAGAGACCATGACAGTTTCAAGGAAAGATCCCTTTGGTAACAGTCCTCCGGTTCTCCTGGACTCTTGTGCTCGGAAACTGCACTGTCACATCGCATGTTTAATACCAATTAGAGGTATTAAACATTAAACATAAGCTAATTACAAAACTAATTCCACAACGGAGGCTAATTCGCGAGATGAATCTATTAAGCCTAATTAGTCTATGATTTGACAATGTAGTGCTATAATAAATATGTGCTAATCATAGATTAATTAGACTTAATAGATTCGTCTCGCGGATTAACCCAGTGCTTCTGAAGTTAGTTTTATAATTAGCTTATATTTAGTTAATTTTATAATTAACTTATATTTAGTAATCTTCCTAATTGACATCAAACATCCGGTGTGACGGGAAAAAAGTTTAACCCACTTTGATCCAGACACCCTGTAAAATGGTTGGCACTTTGCGTCTCGCTGATCAGCTCCAACTCCCAGGCTTGTCACTCCAAACAAGGAAATAACAACAGCATTCCACAGGAAAATGGCATATGCGCGACAAAGAGCATCGCCCTGTTTGTTTAGACTGGTTTAACTTATAAGCCATAGCTAAAAGTAATATTGATTGGTTTAGTTTGAGAGAAAAAATACTGTTCGTTGGCTGATAAGCCAAATACGACCAACGAACAGGTTGAATGTCCTCGAGTTGAGCATCCAGAATTATCGAACACACCCTTCTTTCGCCGCATGACGGGAGGCCTTCACCCCCTGATCAATTATTCCATCGTTCTTGCAACAATACACCATGGGCCGCTGCATCTTGTTAACATGCAACAGAAGGAAGCACTCGTCTCAACCTAACTCTCCACTGCAAAATGGGGCTTTGCCCCCGCCCCAAGTGCTTCCGTCTCCTCTCCTCACTTCAATACTTCTCCTAACTATACTGGAACTCGCTATACCGAAACTATTTTACATAGCCATGGAACTGTACTAAATTCTGGTTACCATGGGATTAAACAGCCACATCCCCTTGCTACGACGGAGAGCTGTCTACTACTGGTGTGATTCTCGACCCTGACGCCAGATCGGACACCTCCTCCCTTTGGGGGCGGTCCGCAAAGAGCATCCAGATGAGGTAGAGAACAAAGCCCGAGGCAATGAGCGCCAGGCCCGCGGAGACTAACCCGAGGTCATGCTCCAGAGGAGGGCAGTACTGTGAGGCGATGGCGCTGAAGGTGGCACGGACAAACTTGCAGTCCTGGAGGTTGAGCAGGAAGGGGGCGTAATGGTACAGCGCGTAGCTTACATTTGCAGCCAGGACGAGTTGGCCGTAGATGTCATAGGTTAAGGTCTTGTTGCCTGAACACAAGTCAGTGTCTTGAGCCATGCATGTATAATTCAACCATGCCTGGAAAGTGAAAATGTCATCAAACAAACTATCTAAAATCGCCAGTTGGGTGGTGCACAGATGCAAATGAACCGGGTAAAAAAGGACTGTATGCTATGTGAAAAACTTAAGTGAATTTTTTTTTTACAAAGACTGAAAATAGTAACTGAAGAATAGCAAAACTTACTGTTGTTGCATTTTCAAACGTGACCTCCCTATACTTGCACGGCCGATCATTGAGGTTTGAATCGTAGGGAGAACATAAGTAAGGCATGAACTGTCCTGGATGCTTATGATGTGGTCTTCGATTTGAAAGAGCAGATATAGCTCTGTTAACTATCCCCACAAGCCTCACCACAACTTCTTTGCTCTGGTACAATGTTCGATTTGTTGTGCTTTCGTCCACACATGGAAGGATGTTACTTAGAGCTGTCTCTGCTTGAGGATGCTGGGCCCATTGGTCCATTGCTTCGCAGGTATCCTTCGCAGCACTGTTGCAAAAGAATTGTAAAATTGTTTAATGGACTTTGTTCTCTTCATAACAGAACAGAATTCCCATGTGTTTAGCAAGGGACACAATTGATGCTAATTACATTTTGAAACAGAGCATATATTAGTGTACAAGCAATTTTACTTAATATACTGATCCTACAAAGATGGTTCTATTTGCTTTGGTTACATAAGGAAAAACTGACAACTAAATGAAGTTCAACATGAATAACACCCTGATTAATTTAGTCTTAACAACCCTGAACATATCCACATCACAGGAAAGGTTCAAAAGGCAAATATTACCTGTTTAGTATCAGGAAAATTCCTAGAAGAATAAAGAGAGCCGCCACAACTTTCCAGCATAAGGTAACAAATCTGTAAGGTTCAAATGGAAAGGTGTCAAGACTGCAACTGCAGCTGTACAGACCAGTCCAAAATACACTACCCGGTACATGATAGAAAGCATACATGTAAACAGTATATCTCGGTCCATATTGCTCTAAGCCTGCAGAAGAGAGGGGAACAAGTGTTCAGAAAGGAGTGGTAACACACACAATGTGAGCAAGGGGGTGCAAAAAATTGCATATTGATTAATTGGACTGCATACCGTATCCAATGAACACAAGAACAAGCAACACCACGGCTATGCAAATCAATACAACCGACCTGTAAGGAAATAGGAGTTCAATTCTGAAGATATAATGCAGCAAAATATCACTACCATTGCTAGATACAAGAAACAACACCATAATTATCCATTTTGGCATGTTAATATGCTTCTTGCAAGTACAGCGGTGCTATATTATAGGAAAATTGACCTAATGGTAAAGTGATATATATAGCATATGGATAGCCATCGAATGCTGATTCTATCAGTCAAGGAAACTAGAAGGAATCTGGGGAAAGGGAAGTTCTGAAACGTACATGATATGGAGAACTTTTCTTATCCTTTTATAATTTTCTGCTGTCTTCAGAGATATGGTGTCAGCTGCTTTGTTCAAGTCCCCCATCAAATTGTCAATTTGACTTTGAACGTCAGATGGAAGATAGAGTGCTGCCACAGTGATCGTCTGTGCAAATGACAAGTATTCCGTAACATTCCTTAGTGTCTGAATAGTGAAATCAGATTGGTTCACAACAAAATCAACAGCCCGTGTAGCTTCTTCATGGAATTTACTCTGCCCATAAAGAAGGACAATGCACCCAGCTCTGTACGAAATGGATAATTATCAGAACCAATGGTAATACAGCACTACAGCCATGAAAAGTTAGTTCTTGACAAGGAAATAATCATAAAATAACGTAGAAGAATCATTTGCTTATACCACAATCACCAAACAAAGCTAAAGAAGAAATAGTTTATGAAGAGATTTAGTGCATTACATTAAAGCAAGTACGAAGACACCAAGCAACACAGGGCCTACTACATCTGTATAAGAAACCTTTCGTTTGGACATTTTTGATCCAAAATAGCATCGTCCAGCCACAGCTATCCCGAAAAATATGAACCACAAGGCACCAAGAAGAAATCCAGAAACTCCTGTGAATGAAACAGACTGAAACAAACTTGATTCAGCTAACTCAACAATCGAATATTAGTATTCAGCAAAATGGAAAAGGATGGATTGACAGATAGCAGTCCCATCCTAATAAACAAACTGAACACTAACAAATTTCATTGTGCTTGGTAAGTATAGAAGTCCAGAGTCCAGACTTAGGACTACTTTAACTTGAAAGTATGCTATGCCAATCCATGAAAGCAATGTCATTTTAAGATTTAAACTAATATTTTTTAGCAAGAGAAAGTCCGGAAAAGAAAAGACAGCCCTACAATATCTACTGGATATATGTACATCTGAAAACTGAACTTCTCCAACTATTTCTGAACTCTAGATGACAAAGCATGTTACTGGGTCCGGTCCTGTAAATATTATAAATTAGCCAACCAACAGGATGTTGTATAGTCCTGACTCTTGGCCCATGCAGTGTTTCCTGTTACAGGAAGGAAATAATCAAGCTAGTCCATCTCCTTATCATCTAGATTACTCAAAGTATCAGAGTATCATTACACTATAAGCAACTGACTGAATCTCGGCTGTATGCAAAGCCTGTACTAGTCCTGCCTAACCTGCTTCCATCAATCACCTAAATACTACCGACATGCTCCGGTGGCATCTGTAACCAACTCAAGCTTTATGCTCATGACTCATGAGATTCTTTAAAGTTTAAACAACGACACATACCGCCCAGTAGTGCTTGTTGGTGACGTTCCACCCTCCTCCATACATTTTGAGATGTCTGAGAACATCCGGCCGCCGCGTCCGGTCCTCTGCCAGAACCAGCGGATACTTGGCAACAGGGGCCATAGCTGCCTGTCCCGCCGCAGCCTCCGGCATACCTTTCAGCAGCCCCTTTGCCCATGGTCCCAAGTTCTTCACCTCTAAAATAAAACAGATATATATTTTCGTGAAACACAACACTTTACAACTAATGTTCCCACTTGCTTACGCGATCGAAAGGCATGACACGAAAGCTCATGATACTGCGTAAATGGATTACAAAGATGTAGAGTATGTTTTGCCACAGAAACTCGTAAATGGAGTACGTGTGAACCTGGTCCGAGTCACCAAGTGCATGTGCATGAACATGTGAACGAGACGTGAGAGAGAAGGGCAGGTGGATCAGAGCACCGACATGACTATTAACTACAGCAATCGAATGGCCGGCACTTGACTTGTCCTAACTAAAAAAACACTAAAATTGGAATAGCCGAGACATATGCGGGTTTACTTGACTGACAGAGAAGATCTACCGACAAGATCGTCAGTACGATAAAACAATTCTACACCGCACGAAACTGCGATCACCGAATAAACACAAACGTCCTGAACTGGTGCTACGAAATCGAGCGGAAGAAAAAACAGAGCCCAGCAAATTCGGGTCGGGTACACTCGATACTCCAACTCCAATCCGATCCTACTAAACGCCTATCCATCGCGAGTGAGCTGACAGCTGAGATCGCCTGACACCGGCGGCGTTTCCGCAGACACCCAACCGAAGTACGACGACAGTACTAGCAGGTAATGAAAACAGTGGAGGCAGATTAACACATCGGACAGTCTCCTAATAAACCACAGTAAAACCACCATGACTATCGCAGCTTGTTCCGCAAGTGGAATGGATTGGAGCCACCAATCGGGCGTCGCCCGATCACAGTCCGACACTCCGACTCCCCGACCGTACCGGTCGCGCAGAAACGACAAACCGAGATAGCGCTACGACTACGAGACACAGATCGCCGGCGGAGGCGGAGGCGGAGGCGGGTGGTGGTACCTGGCGCGCTCTCGATCTCCCTGGCCGCGCCGCCGAGGTCGGCGAGCGAGTCCGCGGAGGCACCGGCGGCGACCGCCAGCACCGCCGCCACAAACACGGCCACCGCGGCAGCGGCAGCGGCGGCGCGGAAACCCATCGCCGCGGCAGGAACCGCGCTAGCTCACGGCCGCATCTAGGGATCCCACCGCGGCGTGGGTCGGCCGGACCTGGTCCCTGGGAAACGGCGGGAGTGCGGAAGGGGGAGGGAGGGAGGGGGAGACCACCGCTAGTGACACTGTCGCGGCGCGCCACGCCACTAGTGCCTGCGGTCTTGTTTGTACGCCCGCGCGGCGCGAGGTGGAATCGCGTGTGCGCTTCACGGAGTGCCCGTAGCGGCGCGGCGCCGGTGACGTGTCCCCTGCCTTTCCGCGCCGCGTGCGACGCGGTACACGCCGTGCGAGTGCGTGCTGGGTCCCGCGCGGAGAACACGTGGGCGGGTGGTCCGGCGTGCCAGTGGGCGTGGAGAGCTCCGGGTGTCGCGGGGACGGGTGCACGTAGCGCTGGTGGCCAAAGGGCGCGAAAGGGGAAGGACAGGAGGTGATGGAGGGTGGGACCCAGCCGGATCTCGTGTGGCTCGGTGGGGGACTGGTGCCGGTCGGGCCAGACTGCCCTCAAGTACGCTTATAATTACGGGATATGCCATTGGCATCGCAGATGGATGTGAGCCTGTGACGCAGGGGTAGTTTGGGGGAGATGTGACTGGAGGTGAAGCGATGGAGCCCGGCAACGTGGAACGGGCGTCTTTGTCTCTCGGGAGGCGGGCCCACCTGCATGATACTTTCTGTTAAGATTAGCGTGTTCGGTAGTGGGCTGGTCGCTCACTAGTGCGTGTGGTGCCACACTGGTTATTATACTTTCAGATCACCTAGCCCCCTCCCTTTTTGTGTGCCAAGAAGTCAAGAAAGGTGGCCACTCTCGCATGCACATTTTTCACACCGTTAATAATCTTTAAAAAAATCTCCCTGGAAACACGCCATCAGGATACAAATCCCCCCTTGACGGAAAGGTAAAGAGATCTGCTTGCTGTGTAAGCAACCACTAAGCTCAAAGCTCACTAGGCAGGCACTCAAATTGCATAGTTGCGTGCACGAAGCGGGAAGCGGTCGATCAGCATGCAAAAAAAAACACAGGAAAAAGAACCGATGGATCCAGCAGATCCACTGATTCACCCAGAGCTTGCGTCCAACGACGAGTCGACGACTTGCATGCACCTACAGCCCCAATTTTCTACGATTTGACTCTTTTTTTAAAAAAATTACGTTTAGTCCCTTAAAAGACTTAAACTCATATGTAGATTCTGCGAGTCGACGCCAGGACTTATAGCGCCGAGGTAACACATCTAGACGTTACAGATCTGGACTCCGAGGTGTCTACATCTTAGGTGACGTTCACGTATCTGGTACCTCGATGCTACGATACTCGACGTCAAACTCGACGCCACGTATCTTAGCGCCGATCTGGCACGCACCCGCGCGACGGGTGGGTGCGGGAGACACGGGTGGCTGGGTTTGCGGGGTAAGCAGCCTGCAGGAACAGGAGCATAGGACGCGTCTAGTCACACTCACACATCGTCGCGGGAGGCGGACGCGGACGCGTCTCGGCTCCTCCGCCTGCCCCACGCTGCGGCCTGCACCGTTCACATCTCCCTCCACCTCCAGACGCAATCACGCAACCACTGGTCCACAGCCGCCACAGGGCCACATACCACAATACGGAGTACTAGTAGTATACTCCATTTCAGTTTCTATTCCATTTTTATATTTTCTAGTAATAATAGTATAGAGATAGTCCTATACTACCAGTACTACGAGTACTTGTATAGGCCTGCCTACCGATGTGACAAGTAGGAGTACTAGTTGACTTTTTAAGAAGAAAAAATGACTCTTTTGGTGGGAGGGACGGCGGTACTCCGTGAGAGCGGGAGACAACTGTAGTGAGATCGTGTACTTGTATTATAGCCATCAAAGCATTCAAGTGTGGAAGGTACAATGGTATTATATATATTGCGAACTATATAGGAAAATATACTCCCTCTGTCCCAAAACATACGACGTTTTTGACTTTTTAACATCTTAAATGACTGTCGTCTAGAAAAAATGCTGGCGAATAGGCTTAGGCATAATTGACCTAAGACCAAACCAACTAACCGAGATGGAGACCAAAGTCAACGATATCAATTTTTTCGGTCACTAGTCCGGTCTGGAGTCCATACTACCAATTATTTTTTTTATGATTAGTTCGGTTATTTTTTAAGGCATGTCTTTTGGGGAAAAAGATCATATGCAACCTATTCAACACAAATTTTTAACATGATCTGTTCCAAATTAACAAACTTTGCCCTAAAAATGTGTTCAAAGTATATATTTAATTAAATTTAGAAAACTTTGACTTGATAGGTGTTTTTAGAGCGAATGCAGTACTTCACGGTAAACAGGGGCAAAAATGCAGTAGCGCTAAGGCTAGGCATGTGAATTTTATTGATCTTTTTTTATACTCCCTCCATCTAAATTCCATAGCAGTACCAGTACAGGAGTATACTAGGCATTTGAATTTCGAGAAAAATCTGCAAAATCTCATTCAGCGATGAGACGGAGGAGATGTGATTGGGACGGACGGGGCCGGCCTCGTGGCCGACATGAATAAAGAGCCCTGCTAGCCGTCGCGTCCGCTGGGCTCGCCACAGCCCCAACGTCAAGGCCCATCCGCGGACACGCTTACATGCCGCTCCGCACCGCACAAGCCACACACAGGCGCGAGGGGGCGCATGCACCAGCCGCACGCCGCAGTCCGTAGTCCGCCTCACACCCGTGTCTCCCGCAACCATCCCATCACCGGGGTGCGTGCCAGGTCGGCGCCAAGATATGTGGCGCCGAGCTCGGCCAGTATCTCGGAGTCAAGATCTGTGGCGCCAAGACGTGTTACTTCGGCGTCATGAGTTTTGGCACCGACCGCTCCAAAGATGAGTTTAAGTTGTCAAGAGAGCCAAAAGTAATTTTTTTAAAGACGAAATTGTAAAAAAAAAATGAGACCTACAGCTACCGACGACGGTCGACAACGACGCGGCCGTGCGCGGACCGTCGGTGCGGTCTGGGAGGCGACCGGCCGGAGTAGTAACGATGCGAGTGCCTCTCAACTCCAATTATTTGCTCCTTCTTTTGTCCCATAACTATGCGCATTATCTCATCCTGGTGGTGACGGTTGCGTGCCATCAATGGCGCAGTCCTATGTTGTCGTCGCGCGTGTCCTGTCTGCAGAGATGGTTCGTGCGCTCGACTCGCTGGGGTGATAATAATCGAGAAGAGTATTTGATACGACGGTACGGCTGCAATGATGCAGGAAAATTAAATTACAATATTACTGTATTTTAGAGTCCCTCCGTTTTAAAAATACAAATCTAAAGCAGTCTTATATTAAAGTATATTAAATTTGACAAAATATACACAAAATACATTAATAATACTTATCATACCAAATAGATATTATTGAATTCATCATCAAATATAGTTCCATAATATACTTATTTAGTGTATCATATATATTCATATTTTTCTATAAATTTAATCAAACTTTGCACTATTCTTTGACGAAGGTATACTATTATATACTCCATCCGTTCCAAATTATAAGTCACTTTGACCTTTTTAGTACATCGAATACGTTCTGTATCTAAAACATTATGTCTAGGTACATAACAAATTTAATATATAAAAAAAATCAAAGCAACTTATAATTTGAAACGGAGGGAGTACTAATTAGGGATTCTAAAGAAATCCCATGTTTAACCTTAACATGATGCGATAGGAAAAACATAAATTCTAAAAAATCTCAACTCGAGACCGAGGGAGCTTGCTACTTCTTTTTTCTCTTTTTATTTTTTTAACCATGTATGCAAAATATTGAGGTGTTTTGAATACTCCATTGCCCGTGTTGGGAGTGGCAATCAAGCCTCCCCTACTGTCATCCAGAGCTAGAGATGGCAACAGTCATAAACCTGTTGGGTTTTTAAAGCCATATGTTTAGCTTTGATAATTAAGTGATAATAACTAGTGGGCTAATATTTTGTAAGTGTCGATTAAGAAATGTGAAGCCCATACCATGGGAAAACAAATAGATATGTAATCTATAATTTATCACTACAAGATGGTGCTTACGGAATATTTATATCGCTACTGTGTTAGAAAATGCACCATGACAAAAAAATGCAAATTAATAATTTGTATTACTTATACTAAAATTAACATCTATAGTAAAGAGCCATCACCGTACCGTCACCCTAGGTGAAACCCAGTGTCGCCCTTTTGATCCTGGTTGTTGTTGCCATCTAGGCTCCCTCCTTCCTCCTAGAGGAGTCCATCGGTGACTAGGTGAGGATGTTGCCGGCGTCGATTTCGTCGGTAGGAGACCAATTTCTAGCCATTATTGGCAAGGAGGTCCAAAGGGGTGCTCCTAGGCACTTCCTATAAGGGATAGGAACGTCAGGTCATCGATATCATCATCGATGGTTGCGGAGAGAAAATCAGGCATCTAACGTGGCAAAACCAAGGGTTAAAGGTGATGAATCTGCAACTTATGTGTACCCGATTATACAACTGTCAATGTTCTTTTATTATTTCAGATGCATTTTGGATCTTGTGGCATGTCTAATGTTTTGGAGTTGATCCTTAGTTTTGGCACAAAGACTACACTTATGCTTCGTTGTTTAACAAGGCTCTATTCATCTTGCATCGAGAAAAACCACTAGAGAGAAAGGCAATGAAAGCATTAGGATAAGATATTGTATGCTTTTTATTTTAGAATTTTTTCGTAATTGGAGATGTATTGTGTTAAGTTTTAATATAATTTCTTCACTTCTTTGAAAAAACATTAATATCTAATGTTTGTCCCTCGATGGGCCATTAATGATAATTACAGATTGCCTCTAAAAGTTTGTGGTTTTTTTTGCATAAATAGTTTGTCATTGTATTCCAAGCTATTTGGAATACAGATTCTTTTAATTAAATGTTTTTTTTCTCTGAAACTAGTCTAAATCTGTGGAATTTTTGTGTTCCAAAAAGCCCTTCACGTTTATCATGATATTTATTGAAATATTTTGTGCTG